CGAAACTATTGTAAAGTGACCCCGAAACGTAATTAACACACTCGTGACAGCCGCTCGGAACAAGCCTTACCCTAGGCATCCGAATCGCGGTGGCCGTACAAAGCTCCATACCTCAACAGTAAGTGTACACTTCTTGGGGGGGGGGGCGAGATAATTAATAGGGCTGAACCACTTCCATTTTCTAGCAGATTGGCTTGAAACTTCCGACTTAGAATGTCACAAAAAGACTTGTGATGGTTTAGATGCCTTCGTTTTTGGGTGATTGGATTTCGCATCATCAACAGCAATACACCAGTAATAAAACTAGTGCTTGACCTCCATACAATCATAAGGGAGGAAAGTGTCGGCAAATAATTTTAAAAAAAAGTATAGAAGGATTTTAACGTGGTGTGGGGCAGTTCCATGTTTTTGTTGAAACTATCAAGAATAAGGCGTCTACGCTTTTGAACAGCATTAAAATAAATATACCTGAACATCTTCCCGAACTAATGCGCCATCATCGGCACTAAACCAACGCGAACTTCAGCCGACATAAGCCCGGTGCGTAACTACAGGTGAACTTTGGCTAGACGGTCTATCCATCAAATGACAGCATGGACCGGTTTGCCCCGCGTGTCCTGCTGGGTTTCAACCCACTTGCAAGCAAGATGACGAGAACACCAGCCAGATCTTACATCTTTCGTTTCACATTATCATGTCTTGGTCTGTTTGCCGTAAGTTTTTCGGGAGCAAGGGCTTGGAATAAGAAGCGACGCTTTCTTGCGTTAAAAGCGCGGTCGAACGTACATCATGCATGCCCAAGTTACCTTAAACTGGAAAGCTCAATTCGTCTAGTTTGTTACTGAGCACGCGCCTTTCCGTTGCGTACTCCCTGTGACCAGCTAAACCTTGCTATGCTACACAGACCGCTGACCAAATATCTGAAGATACTCGGATCGGGAGGACCGATTTTTTGAAACCATAAGGCGCTTTGGCTTCAGTGATATTGTTCTATGATTCCATGAATGACAAGCTGGCGAAAGCTTCTCCGCCTTCATTACCCGCGCATTGGTTACGGTCATAGTGCAACCACGTCTTATGAGGCTGCCATGACAGGTGAACCGATCAAAAATCCCAGGTTCTTTATTCCGAATTTTAAAGGGAGAGCACAAAAGAATTGAATCCAGTCATATTCGTTCAATCTCCCGACCTGGATGGCCGGAAGCCTGTATCTCAGACATCTGTCAATTGACCACCATGGTAGAAAGAACTCTGAGGTACGCAAACCACCACACCACGATATGATCCAGTCTATGCGACGGCGCGCTGGAGGTTTATGAAGAAATAAATGTCTGGACATGTACCGAATATTGATTTGAGTAGACTCCGGAAAACGTGCAAATCTTTTGATATAACAAACAAAGCTGCCTTGCAACCCGTGAGGTGTACAGGGTCTGAAGTGCTGCCAGCTTATTCATGTCTACGTTTTCGCTGAAAACCCGAAACGACTACGAAGATGAGGTATGAAATTTGGGGATCGTCCTCAATTCGGGATTTTACGCGTGGATTTCCAGCCGAACTAGACACCGTAAAGCAAACATAAGATACGATTTCTACTCATCATCGATAGCATGATATCAGTGTTAAACACTGATGCTTCGGCTGTCGTATGGTCATGACTTATTCGAAAGCCTTATTGTCGAAAAAAGAATAAAAGTAGACGGGGAAAGGACTTAGTGAACTGGAGGAATTTGAGCACGACCAAATGTATAGCTCAGAGACAGCAACTGGCAAACAGCATGAGGCCGATGCTGTGACCAAACAATCCTCTAGTATTTCTTCGAAGGACACTACTCATAGGGTTTCTGAAAACGCTTCGACAACCATTCTTGGGGTTCACTAGGTAGACATAGTCCACGATTTCCCGTTCTACTTGAACTCAAACGATCAGTGCTCCTTCAAGAAAACGGCATCTTGACATCGTGTCAACCGAAACACAAAGCGGCATATTCAGTTGAGGGATATCACTCCCATAATAGTTCTATTCGTAAAAATACTCGTTTGCCGAAATGAACGACAATATGACTCAAAGAAGACCCAAAGAAGAATTTATTCAACAAGTAAGCTAGCCAAGCAATAGGCCGGAGAATAGCAAGTTTTCTATAGAGAATGCTGGTAGCTCAGGTAGCGTAGGTAGTCGTTGGTTTGATCGCTGAGCTGAGCAATTTGATTGCAAACGCTTCATCACCAATCGACTTGACATCATCAGTGCGTTGTTAGAGATTCGACCCCCTCGACTTGGGTATCTTTGAGCCCAAAGGTTTCTTCAGTCTCTGAAGTACTGATATACCCTTCTGCCTCGATGCACTGTGGGGCCACAGGATCGGATGAGCTTCCATAAGCGTTATTCAAACAAAGATGCTGAATTTTGACTTGGGACAGTTGTTTAATTTGGGAAAAAGAATGCATTCAACAGTCTGGAGCCCACCACTCACCGTACTTTTATTGAAAAAGGTACTGGAAGTGACCAGTCCAATTGCAGCAGCGTAAACTTCAACCCACTCGTAACACGCTCTGAGCTCCAAAGACGCAGCGAGACGCATATCCGAGTACCAGGCAGGGTTTTGACGAGATAAGGGGTGTCTTGATCACACCTTCCCGTAACGCCAAGTACTTGAGCAGTTTGAAGTATACCACCGAACGGTCGTAACGGTTTTCTTTGACGTCAAACAGGCCTTCGACGCTGTAAATAGACTGGCTCCTCTACATGTACTTGACAAATGAGAGATGCCCCTAAAGCTTGTGAATATTCTGTGTGAATTATCCTTAGAGATCTGGTCGCATGGGGATTAACAATTAGTGGTTTGCCAGGGTCGTCCCCCTCTTCAGTTTCGTTCAACTTAGCGACTGATACTATCACAGAGTGTACTCTCCAACGGACCGCAAACCTGGGTATCGAAATCACGTCTAGAGGAAAACCGGTAGACTTAGATATTGGGATGAGATTTTTCTGGAATCTGACGTTCATGATTCCGCAGAGACTACTTTAAGTAAAATATCGAAACTAGTCCCGTGTCTTAGTATGTACCATGCGAATTAAAAACGCGAAATTCTACGTCAGTGCACCTTTTGGCGATTCCAGAATGGGGAGCTTGATTTTGTTGGTGCGTTCGCTTTATCTTGGCTGATTCGTAATCAGTAACCGCGGTGTGACGGATAAAATCAATCCATACATCAAGGAACAAGCAATATTCGCCAAACTGCGTCAGAAACGAATACCATAGCTCAAAAAGACAATAATTACAAAAGTCATGACAGAGATCGGTCTGTGCGATCTCAAGGCGTCAAACTTCTTCAAATATTTGATCATCATTGTTCCCGCAGTACGACTGGTGTTAACTGGCTGCAGCCTGAGCGTAATAAAACGGTTTACAAGCGTCTAGTGGGTAATGAATCGGATCCTGTTGAACAGCAGATAAAACCCTTCAGATTAACGAAATGCACTTAATGCATACCAAGTTGCTTTTCACGAGAGACCCAGCTGAATTTCTCGTTCACAACGTTTTTCAGATTACGTTAACTGGGCATGATCGTGCAAACTGCATGTGTGCCCGTGTATGCTGGTTACTTAAGAAAAGTGCTAAAAGGCGGTTTTGGTGCATTTTCCAAATCGAGATTTGTGAGCTTTATAACAGTTGAAACTGTGAGGATTTCGGAGTTATACAAGCTAAGGAAGACAGAGTGGTAGGGAGTTCCTGAGACCCGAAGTTTCTGAAAAAGGAAGAGATCTACGTGTAGTAGTTACTGGATAGGTGGTGACGCGATGGGCAAAGACGTGTAAACCGAGTGGAAGAAGTGGACAAAAGGGTAGAAAAAACAAGCTCCGGTGAACATTCTCCATGATTTCAACGGCAGAATGAAGCAAGAGATGCTAAGCCCGTAATGAGAAAGTGCTTGCAGGCTATGGGTCGGTGAAAAGATATAGAAGAGGCGTACAATTTTCCACTGAATGGAATCAAGAGGGAACAGATAAGGAGCCCCACCCAAAACACAACAGAAAAACTCCGGGGTAATGTGAACCTGAGAATCTTAGACGACAATTTGAACGGAGGTATCTGCGTACATGGTCCAAGTTCCGAGAAACGGAATGTGTCAGGACATGCGCATAAACTGCGCAACACGATATTTCAAAGCATCAAGTTTCCAAAACTGAAAGAAATGATCCTACTCAACCTAATTGTTCCAAAATAGGTGAAGTGGCTAATTCACATCAAATTTAGCTGAGAGTGTTGCGGTCAATTTTCGTTTTAGACAGGTCCGTATGTAGAAGATATCACACAATCGAGCTGTTTCGGAAAGTAATATTGCATAGGAACAGACCAATTATGATATGCCCTCAGCAATATCCGTCCGTACCAAGTAGAAAATAGACAGTTGACTGTGCCTCAGCAACACTGACTCGACCTACCAGTGCATTCATACCTCCGGCAAACACAATTGTGTCCGGAGTCTGCTTTAATAAGGCGTTCAAGGTATCGGAAAAACTGTCTTGTGTTGTATCATAACTATGTTTCGTGGGATGCGAGCAGATATAGTGGACAAGTAACGATCATCAACTCGATCCAAGGCCTCCAAAGACAACGCCAAATGAACCACGCAGCGATGACTGTGGGTGGGTATCCGGTCGAGTAGACATCCTTTCGCTCGACGACTTAAAATGGTCAGGACCTCGGCGTAGCAAAAAGCAGCTGCCTCGGACCACCGGAGGTGCGCGACCGGAAGATAGGAATTGGTGATGGTGTTAAACAGACAATTGTACATGAGTATTGAATCCCCCCTTAGAAAAAGCAGCATACCGCAGCAGAAAAATGTCCCAGAGCAACAGCAGACTGTTGTACTCCTTCTTCCAAGGGAAACTAGATGAACCGGACGTCGAGGTTCACAGTGGTTTTGAGGTGCCCAAGGCTGTAGTTGCTGTGCGACGCGTGAATGCATCGGCTGACAGTGAAAGATTCATGGAGCTACTAGCCCTTGTGTGGTGTAGGAGAGGAGAACGAATAAATGGAAACAAAAGTAGGGAACCATCAGCAGTACGTTTTTATCGGACAGCAGCGTTACGGCACCACGCGACGATCTTTGTGACATGAAACTAATTGTCTTTCTACATGCCATGGCTGTACTCGGTCTGCGGCATAAGAAGTGGGAACATACCAAGACAGGAGAAGCATTAGGGCCTTCCACCAGTGCCTTGGACTAAAAACATGACCATAAGACAGTAATGTTTGGTGTATGCCTACACAATGGATCAGCCGTTAAGGGACAACTCTCAACTAGGAGGACCAGGTCATGTTAGCCATCCACCCTTTGATTGATTTAGCGTAAGAGGTCACATGGACACATTGCAAAGTAACTCAAAGGGTCACAGATGCGTACAAACTGTTAAAACACGGTAAGGTCCAGTCATGTTGTGACAGCCGTCTTTGACCACGAACGAGTATGTGACACACACACAAACTCCACATGTGACCACATGACTGACTGCCGGCCATGAGGTCATCCTGAATTTCGCAAGGATAAGTTGACACCGGACAAAGCAGATACTTTACCGATAAGTCAAGAGAAGCAGTGTTTTGAAATGGGTGCTCTTACTCGTTATAGACGGATGTGAGATTTGAAAACAGTCCCATCTGGGATGTTATACTCATAATTTGTCAACTGACACTGGATCAACATAATTCCCTCCTTCACCTGGGCATCGTGTAAAGCAAGCAAATAATAACAATCATAATCTTTCAGCTGTAACGGTGTCCAGCTGATTTGCACAAGGGATTAGATACCGTCAGGTTGCCCAAACCTGGACAGGAGCCATCGAGATGCCGGGGTTGGGTCCGATTCAAGGATTCCCAGTTAATAAGTCGATGCCCTAACCACCGAGCAGTCACGAGCTCAAACCAAAATATATCATAGTCACTTACCCTTTTAAGGCCGAGACCCCGCGGATTGTACAATCTCTTTGTCCGACGAACCGCATGCTGTCGCAGAAAACTTTATTTACCTCAGCAACGGGAAATGCACCCTGGAAAGGGCAAAAGTTAAAATCAGCTTGAAAAATTAATCTACAGTACTGGCCTCCAAAACCTCACAAATGTGGATCAATTAACCATTTTGGTATAGCTGCGTGAGTCGGGTAAAGGTGTAACAAATTACACAGTCCAACTCTTCTACACTGTCCGTTTTCGGCCGGTCCCGCCAAAATTTTCTTTTGTACCTTTTACAGAATGGATTTCCATTCCTTGGTAGCAACAGCAAGGAATAGGTCTCCGGTTCACTACCACTTCAAGGACGGGGAGTCAATATTGTACTGATACATTGAAATTCGTGAACAAGCCTAGGTTTGCAACACCTACTACGGATACCTTTTACCACTTATCCCAATTAAAGTAACTGTAGAAAGCGATGATATTCGAGATATCGCGATACATGTATGTCTTTGTAATGTACTACTCATAAGGTTGCTGAAAATCTGTCGACAACCCACGACCGATTTCGCCCTTTTTGGGGCTCATCAGGTTGGCGCAGTCCCCGGGTTTCCGTCAAACTTATGTTCTACTTGAAACCAAATTGCACGAAATTAGCGAATATACACTCATCAGCAAACTAATTCGGTTTTTCGAGAAACTCACCTGTAACCCAGCTGAATCTCTCGTTTGTGATTTCCTCCCCGGAAACCCGGGGACTGCGCCTACCTGATGAGCTCCAAAAAGGGCGAAACCGGTCATGGGCTGTCGACGGATTTTCAGCAACCTTACGAGTAGTACATTACAAAGATATAGCTGTAGAAAGGTTTTGAGTCGAACTGATAAATTTAACATCGGATACTGGAAGATACATGCGTACAGCATCTCCCGAAGGCGTATCTATAAGCAAGGGAAGTTGAGGCATAACTTTACAGGAACCTAAAGAAGCTTCATAAGGCAGGTGTTGGTAACCGGAATTCATTTCACAGTAAAATTCAAACCAGTGATGGGGCGCACGATATTGAAAAAGGTTCACCAAGAAAAGTGGCTTTACAACGCGAGATGTAGATAATTATTCTCCAAAGAGTATTTCGGGTTTGGTGAAACATATAAACACAAGATTCGGAAAGCCAATGTCTCTCAAACAGTATTTAGTTTGTCATAACACATTCCTTAGAGTAAATATGTCATAAGACCAACTTCAACAGCCCGTAATCGCTAGTAGTCTGGCAAGTTTTCATGTACAACTTTGAAGACGCTTCAGCAGGTTGCCGTTTCAAGAGATTCATGGTCAGGTAGGAGTTTCTCAGCAGGATAACATACGGAATCATTTCGACGGATATATATATATATATATATATATAGGAACATATCCTGACCTGAATTACCACTCTATCGTGACGGTCGGGATTTGTGCTGTAATGAACATGCGTACCACAGTGAAAGGAACTCAGTTTTTAAGGTTCAGTCATTCCAGAAAAGCCAATGAGCAGCAGGCCCACAAGAAGCAGCGAGCCTCCATCTTAGTGCAAGAAAGCGTAGCACGATTTAGTCTGGGGTAAAGTAGTACTGTTTTCTGCGACAAGTGTGGTTTCTCCAGACGATCGGCTTCTCCATATCTCCGCCCTACCGGGGAAAGACGAATTGGAAGAGGCCGACCATAAAAATCACACACTCCATTTGCTCAATGAGTGGTCACGGCCCCTGCGCATTATCCGTTGAATTGGAAATATTTTCAAAAACCACAAGCGATATGCTGCTGTACCCAGTAGAATTAAGAACTAGACTTTCATGCCTTACTCTCTGAGTCGTTGGTCTAAACCAACCACCTGCCACATTGTGAGTCTAGCTGGGGGGATCCCCCAAATGAGCCCCTATTTTCAGGCCCAGCAGCTAAAATGCTCCACCTCACTGGACATGACATCGATCGTAAAGAGAGGTAAGCAAATATTCTGCCACCTGGAATTTTGCACGTGAGGAATCTCCTACATAAAGATAGAAAACGTGTCTCGAAGATAAACCGCACTTGTTGCAAGCAAACGCAAACGCTGCAAGGTAGATCTCGCTGCACTGGCTAGCCGATCAAGGAAGACTACGTGATGCTGACTCTAAGCGTACTTTTCAGTTGGATGGAACAATACAAGGAAGCCGAAGTGAACGCGGTATTGGATGCACAGTCGCGAAATACATGGGTCAGAGAATAATGAATGAAGCAAACGACATCAACCACCTGCCAGTCATCAGGAAAAGTAACTCATCCTTGGTGGGACAGGTCGTTACACTCCATAAGTCACGCTCGTTAAGCCGTGCACTTTGTGTGCCAGGCCCCCTACTCTGAGCCATGTGCTGAATGAGGACTACCCACAGGTGGTTTGTCTATGGCTTGTAAGCTCTTATCACTCCACTCAGTCGTGTTGGTAAGTGCTGTTCGGACGAGACAAACCACTACTTAGTGATCCTTTTAGTGGCGCTGTCACGCAGCCAATAATTGTCCTGAATCAAAACTATTACCCTAAATCCGTAAGTCCCTCAAGCCCTGGTTTAGCAAACAACAATTCTACGTTAACTAACTGATTAGATGACCGCCTTCAACAAATGGCTGTCATTTACTTGTTCTCATTCTCCCAGGTGAACCAAAACGCAACATCTGGAACTAGTACATCTTGATAACCGTTTTACAACTAATTTTTGGCTGATTCTTTTTTTACATGAAATGGCCAACTCACATAAAAGTGACTAAAATCTAAGACGCTACACTACTTACGGAAACGTCCTGTTTATTGGCAAGAATGAGCAAAGGTACGGAATCCAGAGCTGGATTTCGTATCATCTTGTCTGGAACGGAAGTTTAAAACTGGGAAGAAACGAAAAAACGTACCAAAAGCTTCCTTCGATTCGTCAAACCGATCCACGTCCACTGAATCAATTACGTAAATGATACCATGCGACTCGGAAAAGTACTTTGTGCATCTTTTGGAAGTAAAACGAAGTGCTTACCTTATCCCAAAGAGACTGTAGTTCTTCTTGCCCACCTAGGTCCCAAAATTTAAGTCTGACTCCACCTAAAGTGATGTGTCCGACTGAAACATCAGTTACGTGGGGGCAACAGGAAACCAACTGTTTAATCCCACTGTGGTGGTGATTTTATTGAGAGGCAAGGCGCGATAGTTGCGCACAAAGTTGACCTTAGTTTGTTCCAGGTACGTCTGAAAGATAAATGCGTGTCCTTGATTTTTTCCAGCAATGTGAAGGGGTAATTGTTTAGGAAACCCAAAACTCATCATCAATGCTGCTCAAAGGTTAGCTCGCCTAATCGAAAGGGTAAGATTTCTCCATCGCCTTTGGCAGAAGCGCGGCAAGCTGTTGTTCGATTTAAACTTTGTTTGTCATCTCCCGCCACTAAACAACCAAATTCTAGCGTTGCCGTCATGTAAAATTGGCCTACGCGGATTGGTGAACAACTGGGCGTATACCGTGGAGGGTTCGAAAAATTCAGCCCGTGGTATATGAAAATGACAATAGATGTAAGTCCCATCATAGCCGGAGCGAGACGTTCCCATATAACGAGGGATAAATCGCCCAAAAGGAATGGGCGACTTACCGTTACCGTCGGGCGACGGTAACGATAAAAGGAGCAGTTTTGGACTTAGATTCATAGTTCTTGAGCCATTTTAGACTATATATTGTTGTATGTGCGGAATGAATGTCATGAAAGGCCTTGCTGCTAACTAACAAAATGGTACCAGCTAGTAACTGGCCCGGTGTGCCGCGTGATGTATGCACATGTGATCCAACCACTGCACGTCCAAGTGCCGACAATACAAAATCAAATCACGGCCTCTCTTAGTAGCGAACGAAACATATGGCTTAACGGAGGCGGGAGCTAAGAAGTTATCACGCTGCTCAAGCCTAGAGAACAGTAATGGTAAGTCAGCTCACCCAACCGCTGGAGTGTCTCGAGATCGCGACCACCTGGAGTGGATGAGTAAGAGGAAAGTCATGTATTTAAGACCATTGTCTGACCTACTATTGGTTGACACCTAACCAGATGTCTGCTCAAAAACGGAAATTTATCAACTTACCGTTTTGCCAGCACAATCTAATCCGAGAATTAAAATTGAGTATTCATCTCGCTGAGAAAGATATGACCAAAGTCCACGAAATAAAGTGTACATGTCCAAAACAGGTGGAAACTACCCGTTGGAGGACCGATTCCTTGTACAAAGAACCTGAAAATAAACGCATTCGAACATGGATGCGCCAATCACCCTCAAGAATGAAACAGATTAGCTTATTACGATATGTGGAACATGTTTCATTTCGGAACATTTGTGCTCGCATCAAGATTTGTTCACGAGCAGATACAAACTGAAAAATGAGGTATTTGGCAATCTTATTCACCAGGTGATGTAAATAGCTTGGAGGGAGTTACAAGGGGTTACACTGCACCCACGAAAACGGTAAATTAATAACTAAACATGCGATCGGCAGGTTGGGATATCTACGGATTCCCATTGATCGTGTGTTTGAAAGCAAGCGTCCAAGTTACCAATCAATTTGGTGACGTTTGCGTGCTTTTCCGCCGAAGAACGAACCAGAAAGGAACGATATACAAAGTTAATTCCACAATTATCCAGATTTAAACATAATGATGAGGAAATTTCGCGTTTTATCGTTGGTAGTGAAGTTCAAAAGATATGGTTAGCCTGCCTGTACGCAATCAACCATCCACAGGAGTTTAATAAGACCTCTCTTCACCAGCTCGAAATAGCTCAGAGGGTTCGAGATAGCTCAGTGGTTAAGGTAGCAGCATACGGAACGAAAAGCCTTGGTTCGAACCAAACCTCAATATCTTGACTGCTCCGGCATCCTAGCAGTACCCTAGCCCCCCTGACCCGTTCCGTTGGTATGTCGTTTAGGCATCGAAACGCTGCTACAGACGAAATATTTGATTTTTATCGTGTCACCAGCCCTCGTAACCGACAAGATCTCAATAAATACAACATAGGATAGCTTCCGGCTCACTAGGGGGTGTAAAATGTGTAAGATCTCGTTATGGGACGCTTGTATATTCCGAGAGAACAGGGTGTAAGGCATAGTTGTTTGGAACATATGCTCTTAGAGCGGAACCACATACGTAAAAGTGTTTCGACTGTACTAAATACTGAGACGGCGGTCACCGTCAACTGTTGGGCGAACATACCGTAAGATAACGTAAGATGCCCTCCTAAATTATCCTATCTAGGGAGGAGGCAGCGCTTCCTCGCCGTACTTTTCTCTGCAACGGAAGTATGAAGGCAGTAAGATGCTTCCTCCAGGTGACCAGCACATCCATATTCATGGAGGCAAGGAATCCGCCTTCCTCGTGGGAAGGATGGGTTGAAAAAGGTCGGTCCTATAAGCCTCACACTCCGATCGTCCAAAAGTAGGTCGTAACCACTGACGAGTACAGTCGAAGAACAAATAAACTCTGTCATGAGCCTGATGCCCCAAACGCACCTGCTGTGCGCATCAGAAGTGAAGTATCTGTCTTTTTCCCTGCATCACCGGGGCTAGGCCAGCCCCTGCAACCTAGCAGGCCAGGACTATTAAGTCGCTGTCACCGTTGGCCTTCGTGGTATGGTTGAACCTTGGAGAAGTGAGTTCCAGCCCGTTTAGCCAACAGGACCATTGCAGCATAGAAGCCCAGCCACCAGGACAAGGTGACAGCTTTAGGTCAGGGGTCCGCACCCACATTCGAAGGTCGAGCTTTAGGTCAGGGGTCCGCACCCACATTATTCGAAGGTCATGAAGCTATGGCGAGCAGTTCGAACATTACAATATGGAAGGTTTGGGACGAGACCATAATACCAGTGAAATGGAGTGCATCAATCGTGATCCGAATTTCCAACGACGCAGGAGGGCCTTGAGTAATAAGCACAAATAATAGCTGTTCAGCTGTAATACACCTCTGCTTGCCTGCAATGAAAACCGACGGAGGCATGAGAGTCCCCAATCCCAGATAGGACAAGTGGGGGATGCAGGGGTTAGGTTCACATCGCGAACCTTCCGGTCAGTAAGTTCGCGTCTTGACAGAACGACTTACTCGAGCCTCACTGAGCTATTTCTATCTCATGCGAAAACCAGCGTGGAATCAGCCTGGTGAAAGTCGTTTCCAATATCTTCGCACACATCGTTTTGTGCAACTGATCGTGAGAATCAAGCCGAGTTCCGTTCTGTCGAGGATTAGTCGGTCATATTTTTACTTTGAGACGAGTCTTTGAACAGCACCAATCTTTCTCACACTGGTCATTTTTCTTAGTCCACGAGCTGTTTTCGCGTCCCGTCGACCGTTATTCTTGCCGAGCCTACCGATCGTAGGGGATCGTCCAAATTTTTGTCTCTTATGGGAACACTGAATGCGTGGGCACCAGTAGACAACAACCGTTGGCCTTAGTTCACCAGGACCATTAATGTAAAACGAGCATGCACTCTCACTGTTCTCTTCATCTCTATTATTGACATGCTACTTGGAATTTCTCTGCCTGCCTTCTGGAGTCCCTTCCGAATGCTCCACCATCAGATGTGCATTCATACTGGGATGAGATCGGCACCTCCTTGCACAGTGCTGAGAGTTCTGCCTGTGGTAAAGCTCTACTGGGTCTACTCAGGTAGACCCAGTAGTCTTAGGTCTCTAATGACGCATCAAACAGAATTGTCTGTTACACCGGAATCAAGGAGATAAACGACCTTCAGGAAGTTGTACTGGAAAAAACTGAACCGTTCCGTGGTATGGATTCAAATGAACCTGAATATAAAAAGATCTAAAAGCCTGATGGGATATCAATGAAAAGCTGAAATGGAGAAAACAGAATTTCAGTCTACAAGACAAATTGCTAGCAAAATGAATTTGTTCGCTTGGAGGCAGTCTCCCTAATAAGTGTGAGCGCTTGAAACTCAGATAAATGTTCCCGCCGGTCTCGAACACAAATTGACCCGAAGAAATATCAGATGTAGAGTGAAAGCAAAGTGTGGCGAACCCGGAAAGCTGAAGAAATGAAAGAGGCCAAGAAATCCAGCAATACCCGAAGATTCTTTCAGCTGGTCCGTGCGGCTGGACCTCAGATACCATCTTTCAGTGAAACCATCAAAGATAAAAGTGGTGCGACTAGTTTGGACAAGGAATGCCTCGGCCACAAGGCCAAATACTTCGAACAACAATTATCGTGGTCACCCGCTGCCATGGGTGGGATTGGAATTCTATAAGTGAAGTCGAAACCTAAATGACGAAGCTCGAAACCCTACGGCTTCCGAGAGTTATGAAGTTTGTGAACATTTCAAGTTATTCGTATTCTCAAACTTTCGGGCGTGTAAGAGTATACGGAGAGCCCTCAGAAAGCTTCCGTACACAAAGCGGTATCAGTCGGGTGTGCTCACTCTCCGTATTCCTAGCTAATTTCGTGACCAACGAGGTAGTGAAACGAAAGCTGGAGGCTTTTCAAAATCCCAGTGTTCAAATAGCTGCTGATGAAAACCTAGTAGATCTGGAATACGTAGACGAAATCGTTCTCGCTTTCGAGGAGAAGATGGAGGCGCAGGTGGCTCCGGTTCGGTTGTAGGTGTTTGACTGCCATGCCACATAGAGAAAGCACGAGTGCTTGGATGCTGCCAGGTCGCCCAAGCCTAATTCGGTTTCGGACTTTTAGGTCAATAAATCCGCGCTCTAACCACCGAGCTGATATAACTTATCCTGTCCTTTAGCATATGTTTTACACGCACGGAGTGTAAGGTCGCGCTCCTCACTGAACGCTACGCTCGACTTTGTGGAGTAGCGTAACAGATGAAATCAACGCAAGAATCCACAAGGCCCATACCGTCCTTGTTAATTTGAGCCAACTATCTGAATCTCTTGAGGACCGAAGATTATTTAAGATGATGAGATGCTTGAGTTAATCCTGAGTTATGGTGCGGCTCTGAAATGTTTGTTAACCACGACGGCGTGAGTGAAACTATTTGGCAGCACTGCTAAAGTTGGCATTGTGGATCCGAATTGTCACCTGTTTTGTGCTTTGTTAACGGTTTTGCGACTCCCACGTTGGACCTTGGCTTTCAGTTTCACCATCCATGATACACCAAAAGCCACAGCAGCCCGATACAGCCTTTCACGGAAAAAGGAAAATTCCCAAATTTCTATTTTACTTTTCACGCACTACCTGTCTCGAGGTAGGGTGAAGAGCGGGGAATCAAAATGTGCAAACCTGATTGTCTGATAATCTGAAAACAGTGCACGATTTTCCGGAACCTTAAGCCAGCTTCCGTCACTTCATGACTTGCCTCCCGACGTCATCAACGCTCCGTAGAACCGCCCGTTTAGGATGGTGATATCGCAATTGCTATCATCCAGGGATCCAGGATTTCCCCGAGCTTCCCGCATCGGGTTTGCTCTTATTGTTCAACGGCTTCCGTTCACCTGAGAGGTACACGTGAGAAAAGATTGCGTCACTACTCTCTAAGTTTTCATCGAATGGCAGTAAGCTTACCAGCGCAAGGACTCACATAAGAAAGCGTCGAAAAGTGCATTAAACTGGGGGTTAGATGCAGCGCCACCAAACCGCTGGAAGAAGGTTATTCTACGCTCCTACTACCGTAGATGAGAAAAACTGTTGCCTAATAAAAGCGGACACACAACTTGAAAGTCTTCCTACCATATCTCCACAAGTCTATGGCGTCAAAAGGTCAATAGACATCTGAGAATAGAGCTAACGTTAGGCTCTGTGGGTACAACAAACCCAGAGCTATACCAGGCTTCATTATAAGAATACACGGGTGTCATCACCTCAAGTGTTAGGTCAATCAGAAACCCCCATATCAGTGACCTCAAAAAGCCTAGTTGCGCTTCACACAAACATGGACCTTGAATTTCTTGCCTCATGTGTGCGATGGGCACTGCAAATGCTAACTGGTCTTAGTCCCAGGACATAAGTGGATCACATGCCGCCGGCAGTGATCAAGTGGCTTAATCCGACCTCGGTACCAAGTCTCACTTAACTCATGCCAATGCTACTGCTTGACGTCGTGAAGGATAAAAAACCCTGACTTGTGCTATTTCGCCAGCCAACATCAGTTAAGCATCAGGCGAATAAAATGGTTTGTTCATGCAGATAGGCGGAGATTAAGGTACTACGATGAAACGTCAATCAAGGATACCATATGACCTACACATCATTACGTTCAGAACT